ACAAAATTGACTAAATGATAAGTTGCTGAAATATATATCCTCCATTTCAAACAACAAACCCACGCTTTAACAAGAAAACAACGCTAAAAATTAAAACCAAATTCGAAAACTCCTTACGTACAACATCGTATGACAAGAGCATTGACTTGAATTTTATATTTGCTTCGTTATAATATTGAATTAGCTACGTTATATACCTTGCATTAATAAAAGTTGTTTGTCCGGATTGTGAGTTTAGAGGCACCAACTATATTCAAATTATCATAACTGTACTGTATATGTTATTTTAACATATTATGTTTTTGAATACCTTTGATAATATGAAGACCTTAATTAAAATAAATATTCAAATTTTTTTTATTATTTTCGTCATCTCATTTCAATTACAAAATTATTAAAAAAAAATCTTATTAAAAATTAATAGTTTTTTAAAAAAACAAAAACAAAAAAAGCGTTCATATTTTAATTTTAAAGAAAATTAATAAATAATAATATTGAAATTTATTTTAATTAACTTTAACCAAAATTAAATTTTAATTAAATCAGGAAAAAATTTTTTTTTTTGTATACGCGTGTAAACATTTTTTTTTTTAATTTTCGTTACTTATTTTTCTGTGTTCGTATACTTATAAAAATTGGGATGGGAGTTATCATGTTAATGAAATTGTTGCAAATTGCAGTAAAATAGCAATGAATTTTTAGAGGAATGTCCAGTTTTATTCTCAATGATACAAAAAGCTCTATTTTCTATAGTTTATTTAATTCCAATATAATATATAGAGACTATATTAATATGGGGGAGTTGATTCTTTACAAAACTTAAAAAACTAAATAAAAACAATACAATAACAGCTGAAAATTACTAAAACTGATCATATGCACAAAATTCTAAAGGGTTTAGTAATTTACAATACAAATTTTCAATAAATTGAAACGCATAGCCACAACACCAGAGACGCTTCAAGAAAAAAATCAAAGCAGGTTCAAGTAATGTTTACAAGAAGGCATTAAGTGAGTTCAATAAACTAAAAGTATGGCTTAACTTTGCAAGCACCTTAGCTTTTAGGAAAAACTTAGACAATTTTTAAATAAAAATATAAATTGTTTATAAAAATAATTTACATATTATTTCACAATAATTAAATAATTAATTTTTTAGTAATTTGGTGTATTTGACTAATATCTGCTTTAAGTTTTTAACAGTAATTTTTAAGATTTTTTCAGTTTAAATGCTTTGAAACCAGGAAGCAATGATCAACTTTTCACATTTACAGTGTAACCTGCCTATGAATATAATGTTATATTTGCTAAGAAGATAATACTTCTCATATTATTTTGTATTATGAGGCAAGCGCAGAAGCCTCATTGAAAATATTCTTTTTATATGCAAATTAATAATGAGGTGTAAAATTTAAATAACATATTCTAAAAATGGGTGGAAAAACATCAGAAGGAAATTTCGTGGAAATATTAAAAAAGGTTTTACATTACATAAGCTTTAAATATAAATAACAAAACGTGAACAATTTTGGTCGTGCCTTAATCTTGAATAATTTTAAATTTAAAACTTTTCTTTTCTATAAAGTAGGTTACTTTTGTTTTTTAAACGGGTTTTATATTTAAAATAATTTCTTATCGCATAATCGTTGCTTTTTTAATAGCTCCATTAACTTTCCAGAATTGGAATTAACATTTCAAATTTGCAGAGAAAAGAGTAAAAAACTTTCGTCAACTCAAAAATTTCAGAATAGTACAAAATTTCTGAAAGATTTGAAACAATAAAATTAGAAACTGGGTTTTTAAATCTGTAGATATGCAAATATCCTGATTCCTGTTTTTGACAAAAAAAAAATAATCGCAGTAGAAATTTCTTTCGTTTGCTTTAAGGGAACCTCTTTTCTAAACCTCCAACAAATCTGATTCAATACTACCTATGCATTAAACGTATTTTACATAAACAAGGTATACAATTCTGAAAAATTTCTGGGTATTTTCGAGATCTTTATTATAAGTGAAACCAAGTAACCATGAAAAATTATTATGGTTATTCTAATTTTGCCATAAATAACAATATTTTAACAAAAAAGTTCACAATATAAATGACGACAAATACAATGTACCTACAGATAAAGATTTATTTCTATATTAAAACTTATAGAACCGTTATTGTATATATGTGTGTATGTATAAAAGTTCCAAATATGTTACTATCTGAAAATGGTTTATAACATTAATTTTTCTCTACTTTTTTTTGTTAAATTTTTTTTTCTACAAAATTTATTTTATCATCTGACACCTATGTGTACAAAGAAAAGATTCCTTATAACGCGACAAAATTAAAATTTCAAAAGTAAAAATTTCGTTATTAAAAAATATGGTTTAAGAGTAATGTGTGTGTGTGGAAACAAATAGAAAATATTTTTGCTATAAAATGCATTGTAGCCGACATTTTTATTTATATAACAAAACTAATTATTTCAATTCAAGAATGTTTTATTGCAAAGTGCATAATCCATGTGTATTATAAAGAAAATATAAAATTTAGAAAGAATAGAACATCTATTTGTGGTTGCGACTCAAATTATTTCAGTAGGTAATTCAAATGATTTTATTTTTACACAAGAATAGTATGATAGAGAATTTTAGAAAACGTAAAGGAGATAATATTAAATAGATAATGTACACATAACTAAGTAGATGAAGTAGAAGCTATTTGGGACCAAGTATAATTCAAAACAGAATAAGTTTGTGTGTTTAGGATATAATTATACTCAATTAAAGTATTTGGAATACGTATTTTAACAAATTTTAAAATAATTATGATATTTTCCCAGTCAGAATTTTTAAAATAATTTTATCAAAGCAAAAGAAAATGAAAAATTAGCACACGTAATTGTAAACTCAGTAGAATTTATTTTACCATTTTAAGCAAATCTTATAATTCTTTAGAAAAAACTTCGAATCGAAATTTTACAATAAAATTCTGCAGCTAGTATGATAAGCAATTATAACACAATAATAACATCATATTGTATGTACTATAATCCAGCAAGATATTTAAGATTCATTTAGCAAGATATTGGATGTATAATGGCAATTTTTTCTAACACAATTTCTCAAAAATAATCTAATATTATAGACTTGTTCCGTTTTTTCTTTATTAAAATGAACGCTAATAAGGATAATAAATAATTTTGCATATAATATTAATCGTATAGTCATATTTCAAAATTTATTAGTGGTTTCCTATAAATCAATAATGTTACTTATTAAAATGAGGGAAGGTGGACCTTATTGTTGTTATTGCAAATAATTTGATTTATGAATTTCTGAAATTAACTAATCCCATAAACATATACACTTAATATACATAAAGCGCTAGAAACATAATAATTATGTATATAGAGAAAGGGAATTTTCTGTGTATATATGCATCCATATTCGTATGCTTCCTTAATATCAAAAAATTCTCTATATTTTGTATTTAGGTTATATTTAATACAAGGCAACCTAAATTACATCAATGTTATAATATTCATGTAATATTTGTTTTATGTATATTATAACAGGATGTGTACAGATGTATACTACAAATATATCATTCAAGGTACTATTAAATGAATTTTCATTATAAATTTATAAAAAATTATTTTGTGATATTTGCAATAAAACACAATACTGATTTTCAATCACTTTTCATTAATTTGATGTTTTCATATTATAAAAATATAGATATACTTAGATGAGAAATTGGAGTTTAGTGATATACCAAAAAATTTCCCCAATTTACTTTAACGTGCCAATTATTACTGCGTTAGTTTTACAAAATTATATAGAAAGTAAAAGTTAAAATTGAAATAATTTTGTATTAATATATGAAATGGATGCTGTGTATAAATTTTGGGAGGAAAAATTTAGATATCATATAATTGATTCGCATAGAAACATGCTGTGGATAGTCAGGCTTAAAACTGTGGTTGAAATTTCTATTAAAAATGATAAATAGCTCCTATACTTTGTAGGATAGTTCCTATAGTTTGTTTTAATTCTCACAATTTTATTAATGAATTAATTTCGTTAAATGATAATATTTTTAATTATAAAGATATTCTGATTTGATCTATTCCATATTTGAATAAAAACTGTTCCGATATTTTCAATAATTTTTTGAAAAATTTGCAAAAATCATAGCAAAAATTATCGCATCAAGATATTTAATTAAATCTAAATATGATTTATGCATGGTTGGTTGGTTGATTAACGTAATAAGTGTAGCAAGCCCACCGAACTACTACATGTTCACCAGACCGTCATTGTGCCTATCTAAGCCACCCGATTCTCTTGATTAATCTATCAATATCGCCGACACTATAATCTGAACCGATTTACTGAAATCTAGTCCAGCCGCACCAACCCAAAATTCATTCATTCATTTATAATTTTATTGTTCCACCTTAGAATATTTACAAATATTTACGAAGGGTCAAATTTAACACAGAGATCGGTTTCTTCCTTATACCTACTAGAATACAATATGAAATGTTATTTTTGTTTCAACAAATATTATAGTAAATTTTGGGTATTAGTAAGAGGAAAGGAACAAAAAACCTGTTTCAGGTTGTTTTTTGAATAACAGCTAAATAAATCTAACCTTCAAACAACTACGAATTTTAAGGAAAGGGAAAAGAAGGGAAAAATTGGGAAACTTTAATGTTAATAATCATTTTATTATACATACACACATATTGCTTATTAAAGAATTTATTGAGTCATTACTCTTATCAACAAAAAATTTCTTTTTATTCTAATTCCATCAAATAGCCTTACTATACATAACTATGTATAAAAAGCTTAATTTTTAGCTTGTAAGTCGAATTAATTACATAGTAGTAGCAAAGTGTCTAATTATATAGTGTATTCAAAGCACTTTATAAAAGAATTAATATTAACATTATTTATTTCAATATGGTAAATTTAATTGAACAATATAAAATTATTACCTTTATTCATTTAATTATTAATTATATAGGAGTGCCACTGTAATTTAAGTTTTTTTCTTTATGATTTTCTTAAAATATCTGCGGATAATTCTATAATAAATCCTTTATTTTATATAGAAAATTAGTTCATGTGTAAAAACATTTATCTTATTTTTATTTTTATCTTAATTACAGCATAATTCACTTATTTTAGTAATTATTTTAATAATTATTACTTTTATTATTTAAAATATTTAAGATGTTAATTATATTTATTTTATAAATAACCTTGATTTTAATTATATATACTAGGTATTACAAAAAAAAAATGACTTATTAATTTTCTTTTTCTGAGAAAATTTGATCCTTTATAAAGTACAAAAGACTATATGGACATAATTCTGGTATATATATATATGTATATATAAAATTATGTGAATATTATTTAATTTATTTTTTTTACATTATTTATTTAAAAATAAGCAGTATTTTTAGATCTATGTCATTAATAATGATAGAGCTACAATTTAGTAATTATACTTTAATTTTTGAGATTAGATTTGAATAAATTTCGAATTTCAAGTTAATAATAACTTAGTATTATCAAATATTTTTTTTAAGTAAATTTAAAATTCTAATTCACAATTTTTGTTTGGTATATAAGAACATTTCAAATATTTTATTACAATATGAACCCGATTAACACTATAAAAGCGAACATTAAATTTGATTATTTTATTATTATTTTTATTTTACATTTTTAAAAAAAATATTCTAAAATTCACTTAATTTAAAAGTAAAAGAAATATTAGATTCACTTTAGAATTATTATCAAAGGAATGAAAACAAGAAGACTAAATAAATTAAAGAGGAGCGAGAAAAATGGAAAAAATTTCTTTATATCCTTGTGTTCCTTTCAATAATAGTTATACATAACTGTTCATTCAATGTGTATTTATCTTTTTTTTTTTTATATTTCTTTTATCAAAATTTACTATTAAAGTTATATGAGTATTTTTTAATTTTTTTATTCATCATTAAAATTTCATATAGTTTTTTATTATTATTATTTTTTTTTATCAAACATCCAATAGGAATAATAAAAATATTGTAATAAATTTTTACAATATAACTCTTGATATTTAATATTTTTTATATCGATAAAGAAAAAGATAGATAAAATATGATTTTTCAATTTTGTTCGATAGGATCAAATGAAAAACCCGTCCGTATTGGTTAAGATTACCGTTAAAACTGAAAAAAAAATTATTGAAATTAAAATCAGAATTTTTTTTTATATCAGGAATCCCATATTAATATTATACAGAAGAAAAATTTTAGTATAAAAAGGAATACTCAATAAGTCTCCTGTATAGTTAGTATATTTGTATATTTTTATAATGTGTGCAGGATTTTTCAAATTCCTTTTATTTACTATATAGAAATGGGATTTATCGGAAAAAAAAGGAAAATAAATGAGGGAAACATGTTATATAGTTACTGGCATTCGTAGATTTTTTTTGTTTATCTTATTTTCTCTCATTCTCTCTCTTTCTCTTTTGAAGCATTTCTCTTTATAATCAATGAAGTAAAGGTAAAAAATATTCATTCGTATTAAGGAAAATAACAATTTCGGATTCAAAAAAAAAGGACTTTTTCATATCTTATACTTATATGAAGAGAGATTGCGAAAAAAAAGGAATTTTTGAGAGTTTTTACTTTTTATAAAAAATCAAGAGAAGATTGTTTGAATTTTCTCTCTTATTTTTAATTTTTATCAATATTACTCTCATTGTTTGCCACGAAAAGAGAATGGGTAAAAAAAAAATTCTTTTCTCTTCACAATTTTTAAAACACCTCTCTTTAGTCTTTAGCATAAATTTTAGTATTAAAAGTTTGTTCACTTTAGTTTTCTTAGTTCATAGCCTAATGTCCTTTAGTATTTTTATCTCTATCAATAATATTATATAAATTTTATATATGTACACCTAAGCTCTTTACTGTTTCTTTATTCAATGTTTAGATAATTTTAGGAAAATAAAATTAAAAGAACTCTCTTTCATACAAAAAAAATTTTTCTCTTTTATCAGTTTTCTCGACCGCATTGCGCGTATATAATAAGGAAGAGTAGAGAGATCGCACCAAATTTCACATGCGGAGTCTTCGACCGAAATGCGTTCCTCCATGTTAAGAAAACTAAATAAATTGGTTTTAGAAAAATTTCTGGCATTTTTGTATCTCAAGTTCGGTAGAACAGATTTTCATGTAAATTTATATCTGAGTTTACTTTGAAGATGACACAATTTAATCAACTTTTGTCAGAAGAATATGTTAGTTATCTGAAATTGAATCTTATAATAAATACTATAGTGACCGATTTTACATTTATGACTATTTTAAGGAAAGTAATTAGCGAGCTTTTTTTTAAATTTTGCAATTTAGCCCTGCCTGACCATATTAGCTTCACACACCTGTACAATTACACAGTACAATTCACGTAATTTTCTAAAGTAATCAGATATCTGTCAGTGGGCTTATACAGAACATAATCAACTAATTTCTTTAAAATTTTTCATATTTCAGGAACTAATTGACGAAATTTTTTGAAATTTAATACTTGAGCTCTGACTGCTAACGAAATCCCTTCGGATTTTCGGGAAACTTTGCATGGAAATCGGATTTCGGAAAATTAACCTCTACTATGGACGAAACAAAAGGCTACTATCAATAGCTTTCATATAGAATTTTAAATAAATGTTTAGGAAATTTTCATACTAATTATGAAAAATTATATTAAACACTTCAACACTGTTGTCGGTTAAGTGCAATCGGTTAATAAATTTACAATAAATTTACATGTTTTTGTGTTTCAAATTTTTTATACTCGTAATAAGAAATTGCACAAAATTTACTTACAAAACCACTACAATATTTTCAATAATAACGTGTAACGCTCACAAAATAATCACTTTACGCTCTTTATTCTCATTTTATTCTGAATTTTAGCAATACCATTTAAATACACCACGAGTCACATGTTTATGTTGAATAAATAATTTTCACATTCTTTTCTACTTACATATTATACTTCATTTTACGAATGCATGCGCATATTAGAATGCATCAATATAATATGAAATTTTGAGAATTCTAATTATAAGGAAATTATTTTCATTATGCAAGGATATTATACTCAAATTTGGTATTTTATTCTACTTATGTCTCATAGAGGATATTATTACATATTCACTTGTATAAAGCAAAATTCTACTCACAATTTTTTAATAAAATCGAAAAAAAATGAAAGCAAAATAATAATAAGAAACTCATACTTCATACAACTTTATATTAAAAAAAAAAACAATCACAGAAAAAGGAAGAAAAATAACATTGAAAAAATATATTTAGTTTTACTTTTAGCGATCTATTGAACTCCAAAGAGTGTTTTATATGAAAAGAGCAATAACATACATACAAAGATAAATTTTACATATAATGTGTGCGTTATATACGATTGGATATGAAAATATAAATGAAAAATTCGAAGGGCAAAAAGGACATTTTTAACATTTTGTTTTGAAATCTTTTTTGATTGCATTTTTTAGTGTTTGCTTTTTCTTTCTTTTATTGCATGCAATAGATAACTAAAAGATTATAATAATAAAAGTGCACAATGTTGAAAACATTGAATTGAACACATAAATAAACAACATCTATATAATATTTAAAAGTATGTATATATTGAGTAACATATAGAAATATACATACAATATTATGAATGCATAATAAAATTATGGTACTTTTTTTTTTAATATTAAATTTGTTTCTCCATTGTTTGGACAGTTATATTTAAAATATTAAAACAGAAATAGTGGGTGCAAGTTGATTTAAGTTTACTGACATTTTTATGCATAATAAGTACACATTATTGTGTGTATGCATGGTTGGATCATATTGTTTTTTTATATACATACTTATATGAATTGTTTTAATAAAAAAAAAACTATCTATAAGAATATAAATATATAATGTTACAATCAATGTTATTTATACGCTTGTTTTTTTATTTTTTTTTTTTGTTTTTTGAAATATTTAAGTACATTCTCTCCTTCCTATCAACATTCATTTGTACATACATATATTTTATATATGGATTCAACAGGTTATTGCATTCTGATGGTTCTGTATTTAATTTTGAATTTTTTTTTTTTTTTTCATTCTTTGTTATAAAAAATTTATTGAAGGTTATTTGAAGGACATGAAATTGGTATTATTTTTTTTTTTTTTGAATTTTTCTACTTTTTAAAGAAATAAGAATAAACAAAAGTATTGAAGTGAAATAAGGATAATAATAAAACCAAAGAAGAAAGTAAATATTAGCTAGAATAAATTAAATTAAAAAAAAAAAGGATATCAAAAATGCACACATATGTGTGTACACAGATTTTTATATACTTTATTATATTATAATATATATATGTACACATTCATACATATGTATTTTATTCAATTACTTCAATGATTTCAATGACTCTTTTGAAAGAAAAACTTTGTACATTTTCATTTTAATTTTGAATTTCTAAAAAAACAAAAAAAAATGAGAGAAAATTAAAATTACAAAATGGTAATAAAAACAATTCATTTCAACAAGATATAAGCTATTATAACTTGTCATTTTACAGGTGTTGCGTTTCTTTTTAATTATAATTCTATTTGTATGTATATGTGGTGTATATGCAATTATTCTTGTTTCAGATAATTTTCATTTACGAATGCTAAAATGGTACTCGAAAGGATATAGATAATAATATAAAAAAAAAATAAACAAACAATAATATAAAATTTAAATTAAAAATAAAAAAAAAATAATAATATTGTTATCTATATAAAAGAGAACAGTTATTTCTTATCAAATTCTATGTAATATTTTCGGGTAAATGAGTTTTTTATTAAAACAACATTCAAGGGAATATTAAATAAAGTTGGGTCAAACCAATGGTTTGTATTGAAGCACTTTTCCCTTCAACAAGTAAAAATTCTGCTTTTAAATACAGTCTACGAGTATGTATACCTATCACACTATTAAAATTATTTTCATTCATATACAAAACTATTTCTAGGATTGCATATATTTAGGATGA